CCTGGAGGCTGCACTTCCCAGGTACAACAGCCACAACTTCAGAAAGGGAGCAGAACTGTAGGAAATGAAAGCGATTAACAGTTGTTTGTATTACGGGGATTGTTTGGACTATTTAATATCCCTATCAAASGGTGCATTATTTGTTGAACAGTCCTAAAAGCAAATCAAAGAGAAACTTGAAGAATGTTGCTAATCCTTTGTCACTTTAAATATGACATCTAAAAGCCAGTGAAAAGCTGWGCTTTGCCAACTGAAACAAAAATCACAGAATTATATAATCACTGAAGTTGGGAAAGACCCCTGAGATCAGAGTCCAACCACTAACACAGCCCTGCCAAGCCCAACTTTTGCCCCAGCACACGGTGTTCACCACCAGGCCCCATCCCCAGGTGTCACAGCCACATCCCTGAGCGCYAACATCACCTTTAATGTGACCTGAGCTCCTTGATTTCAGCCCAGCTRACAGCACCTCTGTCTTTGAAACAAAAGATAGCTAGAGGACATTACAGAAATGGAAAGGGGAGTGCTTGTTTCCCTCCTGCAGAGAAGCACTTTGCCCAAGGCTGTGACCACACGATTTTGTGGCTGGCACTGGGATGGCTCAGGGCTCCAAGGCTTCAGGGACCTGGAGATGCTCCCAGCAGCAAGTTTCAAGAGGAATAGTGAAGGCCAAAGTTACAAATAACAYGGTCAGCAGTGTTTGATCAGTTAAGGAATGAGATGCCTGTGATTTAARGGGACTGGATTTAGCCACCCCAAAAGCCTCTTCTGGCCTGGTAACCCCCTAATACTGATGGATTCAAATTCAACTTCAAATTGAAGACTTCAACTGCAAATTTCACCTACTGGAAAAAAAAAAAACCAGTCATGTAGCTCTTTCTAATCCTGTACTGTGACTTGTAAAACCAGAGTATAAGAAAGAAGATGTTAAAAATATCAAGTAAAATCTAAAGTTGGAACAGAACAGGCTTTTATCTGTTCAGTCAAAAGTGAGTTCACTAGATACAGTAGTATTGCTTTGAATGGAACAAATAATCCTCAAAGATTTTACAATGAATACCCCTTGTACACATTTGTACAAAGTAGCCTATAAAAATAGGAATGAGAGATGTCGTTCTTAAACACAGACCACAGGACACTTTTCTCACAACTCCCATAACAAGGTATCATTTTCTATTSGATCCCATTTGGCTTTCCCATAAGGAACCATAAAAACCTCTCTCAAAACCCTGGCACCAGTGCATGCAAGAGGAATCCTAATGCTGGCTCTGCTGGAGCAGAATTTCCCTCTTCAAGAATAAAGCCTTGGGAGGAAAAAAATAGCGTGTTGGTTTTGTGGCTGAGCCAGCTGTTAAACTCCACAAGCCAGCAGAAACAAAGAGAAACCAAATAAAACTACAAAGCTACCAATGTTCCTTGTGGACAAATGAACCAAAACTCTTTGACATTTATGGCTCTACCCATCCCTACCTGATAAGTCATACAGCAAGCTGCAGCTGCAGATATCAGCAATCACATAAATAAATTTTATTATGCTGTGTGTACAATACCAGTACAGTTAGATGCACTCATCATGGGAGGAGGGGAGGTTGCTGTTTTTTTCCTGTCCCATATGGTAATAATTTTGAATGATTGAACTGTTGTGAGCTAAATAAAAGTACACATTAACTGYAAGATACATTGCAAATACATTAAATCTTCCCAGGAGTTTTAGCAAATACGTGTTTTTTCTATCATGCATTTGGAATTAGTAAAGGAATCTACACCGGGCCATAGGGTTTATAAATAGATTTGGCTTCCTYTGCAATACTTTATGGGCAATTATTTCAGAAAAGAAGATGCAGAGCCACGAATAAATAAAATAATTGCAGCTGATCAGGCTTTATTTACTGCTCTCACATTTCCCTGACTGCTACACTTCCCTCCTCTGGTTTGCTCCACTAGCCTGAATCAATGACCAGATGAAGAGCTGTCAGTTAAYGTCAAACACAGAGCACAAAAGATGCCAAAGGCTGATTCTCATTTCCCCATTTCCAAATTCTGCCTGGGCCTTTCCGGAGCTGGCTCACTCCCTGGATAAATTCAGCACGGAACTGGGAGTCTGGGAAAGAGCAGAGCCACTCAGATGAGCTCTRCAGAGTGTTCAGCAGTTTTCCAGGGAGCACTTTTGCTGTGACTGCCMTGCACAAGTCACTGCCAAAGGTGTGGAGAAGGTGCCAGCTGTGCCAGGGAGGGGTGGCATGGTCCCCCTGTCTGCTGCAATGCCACCCAAACAGGAATTCATTCATTTGGGACACCCTGATTCCAGCTCTGTGCAGCAAAAACAGCTTTGCAGGCAATTCCAGGGAATCCAGTCCAAGCAGAGACTGTCTCATGTCTACACAACACTTCTGCATGCCTCAGCTCATGCAGCTTCCAGGACTCGAGATCTCAGATGGATGGGAAACTCTGCATTATCAATTTTCTTTGAGATTTCTTTTGGCCTGAAATTCTCCACTCAGCCCTATCTAATAATCATGCTACCTGGGGTTCATGGAGAAGGTGGTTTGTCTGAAGAGGTTTATCAGCTCATGAGGAAAAACAGTCTCATTTCTGCTGCTTTGAAAAACCATGGAGCTGGGAACACAGAAACAACTGAAGGATGCACCAGGTGGAGACAGCCTGACTGCCCACCAATGAACTAATCTCAGAAGCAGACATAATGTTGATGTTTTATGGCTCTCAAATTAAACTCTTTAGAAAAAAGTCYTGATGAGCAGAAATGTCCAGTCCTGATCTGTGAGATCCCTACAGCCTCCTGTCCTTCCCATCTTTGTAAAGCCTGGATCAAAAGGTTACTGTGTAAAAAAGAGGGAGCACCAGAAACAGTCTGGAAGTTGCCTAGGACCTGAAGAAGATCCTACAAGCAGAAGTCTCATCGATTTAAAGCCTGCTTTTCTTACTTATAGTTTCGAATTTCATTCTAGGCTGCTTATTTCTGTATAAAGAAATGCTGCAAACCTCTCCAACCCCTCCAACTTCATCAACTATAGTCCATAAGGTGAAAAAGAGGCCAGTGGGAGCAGATGCCAGAGGAGGTAGGAAGATTTATGCTWGCTGAGCATCTGGCTCCCTGCTCCCTGTTATCAGAGGGAAGACAAATGCTTGCAAACACCCTGATTGCAAATCACCAGTGTGCTCAGCACAACTGCAGCACTGCTGCCCCTGCAAGCTGTGCTGCCTGGATGCTTCTTCCAGGGGTTTGTGCAGTGCAAAGAGCAGTGAGGAAACAGTGTGGTGCTGCCCCAAGCCGAGGGAATGATTAAGACATCACCATTTTCTGTTACTGTTCAAGCAGGTGGTGTAATTGCTTCCACACAGGAACGTGGCTACACCTCTGCTGTCATCCATCACCGTGCTGAGGCTGTACATTGTGCAGAATTTGGATTTGACCTCATTAGCATTCCCAGAATTACAATGTCATGCCAATGATAAAGACTGAGATTATCTGCACCCGAGGAAATGGAGAAGGAACAAATCACACACGATGTAAAAAGCCAACAGTGCAACCACGGTTCTGCCAAATACTCAAAGGTTGCTTGAATCCTCCTGATCCTTGATTTGGCATGTGGGACAAGACATGATTAGGAATTGTGCTCTCATGGGTCAAAGCTGCAGGTAAAGGGGATGGCCTCATGCACTGGTGATCTGAACATTCAGGGAGAGCACAGGGAGAAGGGCAGGCACTGCAATGGATGCTCTCTGGTACCACCTTCCCTCTGAGTTGCCAGTACTGTCTGCACTTCCTCCAACTCCCCCAGGCAGCCAGTGAGTCACTAGAAATGTGGAGAAATCAGCGTGCAATTTGGGAAACAACACAGTGGCATTTGGCCTTTGCACAAATGCTTTTTGCTGCCTGGAAGTTCACAGGATTTTCTTGTGATTTCCAGGATGCAGGCACACAGGGAAGGTTTCTGCTCAAACTTCAGTTCAAGGAAAGTCAGACCAATTTTTTAGCCCTTCTGGCAATCAAATAAAATCAAGTCAAACCTGCACATGTCTGAAGTCAATCTACAGCAAATTCTGTAGTAAAACAGGGAATTTCTCAGTCTCTAGCCAGCAGCTCTAAAAACACCAACACATATTCCAAACCACTCATTCCCAGTTACTTTAGTCTTCCATGGAGCATCTTAGAGGARATTAACTGAGCTTCCCTACAGCAGGAACCAAAGAAGGAAATGAATTTATTACTCCAGTGGTACCCTTGACACAGATACTGAGCAGCTCCATTAAACACTCTGCAGCCCCGAGTGCCTTTGCTAAACCCTCTACAATAAGCACAGAGTCATTTTCCTTCTTACAACACAAACATACAGGGCAGGATTCAGGAGTCTGTTTAGTATCTGAATCACTTCTCTCATCTCARTGGGATCCAGGCAGGCACAAATTAAGGCTGCATAATCCTAATCCTTCCCTTTCTCTCCAGAGTCATTACCTTGCAGTACCACTCTTGGATAAACTCATTTTCACAGACTCAGCATAGCCCCAGCCAAATGACTAATACAACTCTTTAACACAAACAACAATAAATCAACTGATTAAATTCTAATTTATCAGACAAATATACTTTAGCTCTTCCCAAAGCTGTTCTGAATCATCCCTCWTGCCTGGCCATGTTCCAGAGGAGCACTGACACCAGATAAAGCTCAGACCYGTGGAACATGTTTACATAAGACAGAAATGCTGAAAACATCCTGTATTTATGATGGGAGATTTCACAGAGATCAGAGTGAATAACATTCCTGAGAAGACAGTAATGTCTCTGAAGCCTCCTCAGCATCTCTTCCAAGGACCAGTCTAAAAGGACAAGGCATCAACAGGCCCTGAAGCTCCAGGCTCAGCAGCAGGGCTTGGGAACCAGACACATTAACCTCGAGAGATCCTACAAAAAACCTGTAACAGCTTAGGAGATGGCTTCTCCAGCACAGTTTCACTCTAAGCCACAGACATTTTTTACTTACTTCATTGGTTTAAACAATGCTTGTCCATAGTTCTGGAATGTCATGATCAGCTTCAGCTGGGTGCCTCCTGATTTCATTGCTGCGGGGAAAAAAAACACAAAACAGCTTTAAAATGAGACATGTGGATCTGCTTACATGCAGCTTCCTTGAAACCAAATCATATCCATTTTTCTCTGTATCAGCACTGTGGTATCAGAGCTTCAAGCAGAGTGATCCCAATGGGACAAGGGATTATTCAGCAGAGTGCAGGGCAGGGCTGGGAGCTGTGACCAGCTCTAAATGTGGGTTGTATTTCATGGTACTTTTTATTCACCTGCCCACTGTGGGCTCCATAAACACCCCACAGGTACAACATGTGCAGGGGCAGACCATGGGAGTCTCATTTGCTCCAATGGGAATTTAAGACTGATACTCATTCATACCATTCTGAAATACTTGGATAATGTCACACAAATAGCCAGATTATAGTGGTTTTAAATTAGAATTGGTTTTTTTAAATATATACAAGAATTCATTACAATGCATTTTACTTGACGATAAGGCTACTTAAAAATATAAATATATACATCAAAAATGGCTGTTTTTCTACTGCCTCAACCAAAAGCATCCTAGTGAATGAAATGCCCTATAGCCTGGCTCCTAAATGCAACTCTGTGCAGGGAAGGCAGGCCATGGTCAGCAGGGCTGTGTGGATGAGGCAGTCCTTTAAAAATGCTTTCTGCAAATCATCAGATAATCAATCCCTTTCTTTGCAGTTATGACAAAACCCATGTCAGCTGGAGAACTCCATAAATGCCAGGTYATCTCACTCTGTAAATCCTGAGAGCTGCCCCTGTTCCACCCATGTAGGCTGAACATGTTTTTTCTCTAACCAGTGCCATTAGCTGCACATCTTTTTAATTACTCATCTCTGTGCCTTATCACTGATAGGCCATCAGCTCTCTTTCAGCACTTGTAATCTATATTTYTGCAACAAAATGCTATGCAAATCTGGTCGGTGTAATTATACTTCTAGAATAAAATCCCTGCTGCCCTGCTGTTTTGCTGATCCCAGCCTTCTCTTGCCTTTCCACTTTATCCCAAAGGAAAAAAAACAAATAATTAGACATTAAAGGGCGTTAAGCAATTTGAACAGATCAGGTAAAGCAGAAGCATGTGGCTTTTCCTGGATGAAACTCCCTCTCCTGTGCAGCTCAGCTGATCTGCACTCGAGGGCAGGAGGAGCCCAAGCCTCCTTCATGCCCAGCCAGAGCCTGAGGACAACAAACAGCAGAAATCCCCCAGTCCAAACCTTGCATGGGGTGCCCTGGGACCATCTGGGTGCTCTGCAAACTGCYCTGGTCACTGTGGGCACCTGGACTGCCCTTGCCCCATGCCCAAAGGGACACAGGGTGGTGCACAGTGGACCACCCCACCATGGCCTGGGAGTCAAAGAAACAAGGAATAGGTTGGAAGGGACCTTAAAGATCCACTAATCTACACCTCCCTGCCATCACAGCAATGCAAAGCAGCAGCAAAAAAAAAGGATGTCTCAGCACACCCTTTTCTAAGCACAGGGTTTCAGATCCTAAAAGCACTGGATTCTCAGCAAATTGGAGCCACTCGGCAGATAATGATTTTGTTAGCAGCCAAACTCAACAGCGAGGATGTCATCACCAAGCAGGGGAATGTATGAAGAAGATTAACAATTCAGAATAATTCTTCCATGAGACACAAAAGCCTGGTTTCCTGTCAGAAGGAATTGAGCTGCAGTAAGACAAAAGCATCTCCCTCGCCTTTTGAGATCCATCTTATTGTGTTGCTTTAATTGGTTGCACCAGCAGCCTCACCCCAACACAAGCTTTGCTGGCACGAGTTGTTCCTCTGCTGCTGCTGGGAGCAAAGTTTGGAACTCTGAAAAGCAGAGGAGGATGTTGGGGGAATTGTGTCCCATCGTGGTCTGTGGGAGGGCATGGTGGAACCCACATGGATAATGGAGAACCACCCGTGCCAGAACTGAACCTTGGCTTCCCCCATCAGCCATTCCCACTGTGCCTGCCCTTCCAGTGACCCTGATGTGATGGTCAGACTGGGGGAGCTGTGAGCCCACCCTCCAAAGCCAGGCTGGTTAGACCCAGCATTATAACCCAGCTTGGACTGGGGTTCTGAGCTCCAAGGCTGTACCTGCACACCAAGCAGCCTTGGAGCAGAGCAGGGTGCCCAAATTCTGGGGATGGCAATGCCAGAGAAGAGCAGATCTCACTGAACCATTTCCTTGTCCTAACCCTGCATCACATCTGCACACTGGCTGGTTTCCCTCTCATTTTCGGAGCTGTACTCCTCCAGAACTCCCTTTSCTGCTCAGCCTCAGTCCAACATGTCCCTCTGGCCATTGTGGCTGTCATCCTGCAGGGGTTCATCCCAAACAAACACCRTTTGCTCATCTGGACATATCCTTGAGCCTTCACCTGCTCCAGGCCCATTCCTGGAGAATGTGGAACACCCAGAGGAAAACGGTTCCTCCCGTTTTCCAAGGAACCATCACAATCTGGCACATCTTTGAMCAGCAGCTGCAGGAATTTTCACAAAACCCTCACAACACAAGGCAGTGCTGACTCCAAATGAACCACCAGTCACACTCTGAATTCACCTTTCATTTTTTCCAAGTATTTTAATGTACTGTAACACCACAGGTCACAAACAGCTCTGTAAAGGCTTTATAAACCTGCTAGCTCACAGCAGGTACTTCAAATCAAGTCTCACACAGCTCCTGGATGTACTGGTACACTGCTAAAAACAAATCCCAAYGCCATCATTACTTTTCATCTTCAGGCAATTCAAAGCCTCTCTTTTSCCTCCAAAGTAGAAGGAAATGGAAAGCAGCATTAACCTTTCCTGTTAACCCAGTGTAAGGGCTCTAGGGTGTGATCAGAAATCTTCCTAACTTCAGGAGGCTTTGCAAAAAATTCCCTGAGATATCTTTTTGCTTGAAGGTTTGGGATTACAGTCTTGTCCAAAGATTAGTGAAATTGGTGGGATTCCTTCTGTTTTCTCTGTCAGATTTTGGATCAAGCCCACAGAAATCCTGTCTAAACTGTRTGGTTTCCTGATGGAGAGTGAGAGCCTCAACAGGATCTCTGAACCTTTTCTGGTCACAATCCAACAAACATTTTGAAATGTATTTAATTATGCAGTGCTAATGCCTGAGAAGTGAGATGCAGCCACAGCCTGGGATGCACTCAACACCTGAAACAGAGGATGCTCAGATCCATTTTGGATTCCTATTTATAGATCAAGCTTAAATCTAACACAAACATGTTGATTGGGTTTAACAGGTAATGATCTGCCCCAGGATACACATGGCTCTGTAAAAAACATATTTCAAAATAAATTCAAGCCCTCATCATMTCTTAATTTATCCTTGTTCAGCCAATTCTGCTAACTTGTTTTTAAAGGACTTTYTTGGTTTAGTCAAGAAGGTAAAGACTTCTGCAGGGGAAGAGATCTGTGAAATTATTCGAAGGCTTTGCCCTRCATTTTAAGTCCCCTCCTTTCATCTGGAATTGCACATTAAATCAATCTGTTGACTCTTGGCAGATTCATTGTTTTCTTACACACTAAATCAAAGGTGCTACATTTCACTGCTTCTCACAAGTTCTCAAAAGCTCTTCTTCCTTTCCTTTGGATGAAATTTTTACAATTTTCTTCAGAACCAGCATTTATATTCAATATTTAGTGCMTTGTCTTTTCCTTTTCTCTTTTCTTTCCCTGCCTTGAAGCCRAGTCCACCTCAGGTAATTGCAGCTTTTATTCCCAGCGTGAGTAATCCCACACGCTCACTTCCTAATTACTGCCTGTACAAACTCAAGGCATCACAGAYTCAGAAATTACCTCAGTCAGGCAGTGTTTCCAAACCTTTACAACCAGAGAACTTCAAGAATCAAAAAAAAATAAATCCCAGCTAAACAGAGGGATTACAAAACCCTATCCTGCTTCCAGTGAATCTCTTCTGGACAGAAGGGGCAAGGCCATGCTGCCCCTTCAATGCCAGAGCTGGTGTTAAACTGCTGATAGTGCTGCCACAATTATGCACAGACATCCTGAAAATATGCAAGAAAATAGCTAACTGTGGTTATTTATGCATGCAATAAACAGTTATGAAAGGCAAAGGAAATGTGCAATTGCCTGTGCATGGTGCTTCTGAAAACCAGGCTTTGGTGCTCAATGGAAAAACAATTCTCTCTAGGCTCCTATTTATGGCAAAAGGAAATTTTCAGKGAATTAAATCAAATTAAGAGCTATCCCTTTACGCAAATGAATAGGAAATAGATCCATAGAGAGGCACAGGAGCATCCTCAGCCCGATAACCCTGTCCTTTCCCAGGCCAGCTCTAGATGTCACTGTGGGAGCTGCATGGGATGCTCCTTCCCATCCCTGGATTTGTTCCATTTCAACTTTAACATCAAGAAAATGTCACCTTGGTGCTCCCTGCTCTGGGGAATTGCTTCTGTCACCGTTTTCATTTTCATGGAGCCATGTGAGCAGCTCTGACAGATGGAGGGGATCGGTCTGGCCCCACAAATAATGCAGGGTGAGCACAGAAATCACAGCRTGGCCAAGAACACTGCTCTGCTGCAGTTTGGGGATCACTGCAGGCATCAGGAAAATCATCTCATTCTCCCAAAGTAAATCTGAGCACTGGGAGAAACAGGACAAAGCAATATCCCATTTCACCTAATGCCTGCAACGCTGGATATTTAATTGTCCTGCTTGCTAAAAAAAGCCTGAAGACCAGGCATTATCAAGGTTTCAATTTATTTTATACTCCTAACCTGAAATCTTCCCAGCTGCCATAGAAAGATTTTAAAAAACCAACAAACCAGCAAAAATCGACCATAAGGAAAAAACCCAAGCCTAATTAGAAGATAAGCAGGAATATGCAAAGAATGTAGCAGCCCTATAAATGTCCTTTGGTCAAATATATTACTCTTTATTAATCAGCTTACATGCTTTTGAATCCCTCTGCTGCTCTGCAGTAAAGCCGAAAACTGGCAGGAATTACTTTAGAACATGTATTTTTAAACATCCAAAGAATTTGCAACATAAAATAAGAAATGCTGCATTGTGCAAAAAATAATTTTAAAAAGTGTGTTAGCAATATGCTCTTTTTTTTTTCTTTGCAAGCTGACAAGGCTCCTGAATCCCCACAGGGTCAGCCAGTGAATGCTAGCACCAAAATTCAGATCCTGGCATCTCTATATAGGCAAAAGTCTCCTTCCATTCCCATATACTTGATTTTAGACCAGGTTTATGTGTAGGAATCGTTCCCTGACTGTTCTCATAGTAGCCAACAACACCAACTCGTGGTTTAATTGATGGAAATTATCCTGATTCATTGCTGGAAACCATGGCTCTGTGTTTTTGTTAGAAGAACAAGAGGCCCCACCATGCTCTTAAGAGCCTTGTTCAAACATTAACAGAGACAAACCCAAAGGGAATTGCTAATAGCAACCATAAATCTTCCTCTGTGGTCCCACGGCCCTTTCCCCCCACTGATCTGAAAGCTCTATCAAAATCAGAATTAATGGAAACCCCACGATACATCCATATGACACATTAGGTGAAATCATGGCCCCRGGGAAGAGAGTGGCAAAAACTTCCACTTACATCAGCGGGGTCGGGATTTCACTCCCATTTTTTATGATAATAATTTTTGCTGCTAGGCCAGCTGAAGCAGAGAGAGGTGAAKCCACATGCCCAGAAGCACAAGTGAACACCAAGCCCAGAAGATCAAGCAAAGAGTGAGCACTGAACTGCTCTTTCTTGCTTCTCCTTCCCTTTTTCTCCCACCAGGTTCCAGGAGAACACACACGTGTTACAAAGTGCTTCCCCATTTGCACCTGCCACAAATGTTCCAAAAGCTGGCTGGTATTGAGGGGCGAGGTCAGGAAAGGTGAGGGCTGTGTCAGGGAGAAAATTACCCATAGAGGGCCCTCATCACTCCAGTGCAGCCCAGAGGACCAGGGACAGGGTCTGCTGCTGTCTGCAGGGTCACCTCCGAGCCAGGGAAGGGAAAACACATGGCTGAATGGTCAAACATGACTCCCTTCATGAATCACTGCCATCCAGACTTTTGGGGACAGGAAACCCATCACAAGTTAATGAACAAACCCATGTTTGTCACCTTTCCTGAGTCACACATCCACTGGACCCTTGAATCCAACCCATGGGATGGTATCTGGGTATCACAGCCAGCTTTACTGCAAGCACTGCCCCAGCAGAGCAGTGAGCACAGCCAGCACACAGCAAAATTCACAGAGCTGAAGGTCCCCTGTGGCACCCTGCACTTTACACCCACTCCATCCCCAGCAGCTCAATCAGCCCGCTCCTGATGACCAAGGATCTCCTTTATTCCTGCTCAGCAGCCGCTGTGATTCACACAATGGAAAATGTAAACCTTAAAGCTGCTTGAGCTATTCTTGCCCAGGCCATTTCCTGCTGAAGCCAGGGGAATTTTTGCCTTGCAGGGTTAAAGACCTGCTGACCTCATCCCACGGTGCCAACACACCATCAGCACTTTCACAGAGCTCCTGCTATTTCATCCCTCTGAAAGGGACTTCGCAACTTTGTGGTCAGCACAAGTAACTTCATTTTCTGCCTGCTGGATGGAAACCACTGCCGGTGCTGCAGCTCCCTGGCTGTGAAAACCACGGGGTGTGCACTTGTTCAGTATCCCAGGGCTCTCATCTCAGCTCGTGTCATGTTTTTCCCAGCGCAGCTACGCAGATAAATTCAAGAAGACGCACGTTGCCATTAAACAGCCCTGGAGAAAAGCCCCGAATGGTGCCACCTTGTTTAACCAGAGCCAAAGGTTGACACGGGCACATCCCTGTTGTGGATTTACAAGCAGAGCAAACAGAGCTGCTCTCTGCCGGGGAAACTGCAGCTCCTGCAGCCGCAGAGCCCGCGGAGCTCCCGCTGCCACCGCTGCAGGGCTGCAGGGCGGCCTCTCCTCCCTTGGCAAGGCAAGAACTGCCATGCACAGCCTTTGAAATAATCATCAGCCTCATAATTACACAGAGCTCATGCAAGACGCTGCCTGCTTTCTGCCATCCCAGCGTATTTATGTGAAATAACCAAATAGGGCGCTTTCAGCCTGATTGGGACTAAAGGATCTCTGACATGAATGGGGTTTGCYTTGCTGGCAGACTTGGCAATTATTCAGGTAATACAGAGCTGGGAATATCCCTTGATGTTTAGCAGGGCAGTCGGAAAGCAATGTTGTAGGGAYGCTGGAGAGAAGCCATGCAAAATATTAATGATCAAACAGCAGTGAGATCCCAACAAAGAGCAAATAATGACAAAAAAAKACTGTATATCCAAACATACCAACACTGGTTATCTTTTGGGAGACAAGGTCTTGTAGTAAAGCTTCTATTGCAGGATTATGYCTGGAATACAACTCGTACCGATTAATGCCAATGTGGAATTTTAACCAGTTTGGGTAGGAGTCTATGGAGGTTTCTCCAGTTGGCAAAAATTCTTCATGATGATCTTCATTTTGCCTACCAGCAAAAAAAAACCAAAAAAACAAAAACAAAAAAAAAAATACCAAAGTTGAGGAGAAAGAAATAATGTTACAGTTTGTAACACACATCAAGAAACAGGGCTTCAAAATGTGACATGGAATGGGGAAGCACTACAGAAGGGACAGAGGTCCCAGGTTCCTGCCTGCACCAGGAGCCTTTTCTCTCCTGGGGCTGATGGGGAGATGGGTTCTCACCTCCCCTCATCCTGCCTGATTGAATACCCAGAAAAGTCAGGAGCAAAACTCAGAGAGGCATCACTGAGCTTTGGCAGAGGCCCTTCTAGAGCAGGAGCACAGAGCTCCAGTTTTACCTTGTGTTCTGGTTGTATTAACTGCACACAGCTTTTACAGGTCTGATTCTAACCACAGCATCATCCTGAGCCTTTGTTTAACAGGGGCAGGGGGCAGAAAACCAAGAGTGCAGCAGAACCTGACTGGCAGAACCCAATGCTCCAAACTCCCTCCTCCTCCTTAAAGAGAGAGAATGAGAGAAGCTGCATCACTCCAAACTGGCTGCTGAAGAACAGCTGGCTGGTCCTGCCCCTTCCTGAGCAGCAAAGAATTGTTAAAATTCTATTACCTTCTAAATTTCACTTTAGTTCTGTGCACTTTAGCTGCAGCCACTAAGGAAAACACGTACAACAGGCAGCTGCATTGTGGATATCAGCGCCGATTTCACTCCTCACCTACTGGACAGACTAACCCATATTTTCRATCCAGAGTTCTCTGTGTTTACAGTCATCTCCAGATGTTCAAGCATGTGTGACTTTCTTTTTCCTTTTTCTCTCAGAGAAACCAGAACTTTTCCAGGTTATTTCCTTTCACAGTCAGTTAGGATTATTAGATGGAAGGGGCCTGGACAATTCACATGCTCATGGGGYGGAAATCAGAATTATTTATCCTCTTTCTAAAGGTTTAGATCATGCTGGCTGCTCTGCAGCTTGACAGAGCTTTTGCACGGTACAATGCAGCTGTTTAAACATTACAATGTCAGTGTGTTTGGAAGAGGGTGCTGTTGTATTAGACAACCCTTTTGATTTTTCAGTCATTGAATTTCTCAGCATTTCTTAGGAGCCAACAGGGCATACGATTCAGAGGCAACTGACTGCTTTGAAGGCTGGAGAGCAGCGGAGGTGCAGGGCACTGGGAATTAATTGAGGATGAAAAATGCAGCACAGATCAGATCCTGAAAGCGGAAATACCTGCCAGGATGAATGCCTTTGTGGTATTAGACCTTGCTTTTGAGAAAAGTTAATGTATTACTGCCTGGCCTCACTGCTCAGCCCCTTCACCTCTGGGTGGGGGACTGGGAATGTGCTGGAGAGGAAGGCTCGCTGTGAGCTCACCCTCTTCCTCACACCGTTCTTTTGGCAGCACCTTCCGCGSCTGCAGCTGCACATGGGGCAGACCGACCCCTTGGCCTCAGCGCTCCCGCGTTTATTCTGTATTTATTCTGTATTTCACGGCATTCATTTCCCGAAAGAACGCTTTCTCCTTTTCCCAGTGACCCCGAGGCGCTCCGTTCAACCCTCTGCCCTTTTCCCAGAGGAAAGCGGGAAGGGAAGCGGAGGGAGCGCCACGTCCCCATCCCGGCCAGCCCCGCGTCCCCGCGGCCACTCACTCACTCACTCACTCACTCACTCACTCACTCACTCACTCACTCACTCACCACTCGGGCTGCTCGGCCGCCCGCGGGTTGAACCTGATGTCGCTGTTGACATTGAAGAGGAGGTCGCCGTCGGCCAGCGGGGGCAGGGCGGCGCGGTAGAGCGGGTGCTGGAAGAGCGCGGCCAGCGGGGCGGCGTTGGCGGCGGGGGGCGGCGGGCGCGGAGCTCCGGGGCCGATCAAGCGCCGCGTCCTCCCCGCCGCCCGCTCCTCCGCCGCTCCCTCCCCTCCACCGCCGCCCGCCGCCCGCTCCGCCGCCTCCCGCGACTGCGACGAGAGGTTGGAGGCCGGCTCGGCGCTGAAGTCCTGCAGGATCCGCAGCGTGTGCTTGCTGGGCCAGCGCGGAGCGGCGGCGCGGGGCGGCGCGGCCGCGGGCGGAGGGCAGGAGCAGCCCGGGCGGCTCTCGGGGCCGCGGCGCTCCAGGCGAGGCAGCAGGTCGATCATGATGTGCATGGTGCAGGCGACGAGGAAAACCATCAGGATCAGCACCCGGAACTTGCGGACCAGGAGCATTTTCATGGCCGGGGCGGCTGATGAATTAGCGGGGAGGGGGAGGGAGGGGAGGCGGCGGACAGAGCCACCCCGGGGCTCCGGCGGGCTCCTCTCGGGTCGGGAAGCGAGCGATCAAGTCAATAAAGTTACCTCCATAGGCGCCGAGAAATAAACAGGCTAAACCCGATAGGTCCTCATGTCTCAGTATCATCAAGAACTTGGGAGGGGGAGGGCAAAAAAAAAAATAAAATAAAATAAAAGGGAAAAAAATTTTTTTCTTTTTCAAAAAAAAGGAGCTCCGGACCGAGCCTTTAAAATCAACAGGAAAACAATGCCAGCGGCATGGCAATATAGAAAGCCATCTGTTCACGATTTCTCCCTCTTTTTATTACRGGGATCACAACAAACAGGGAAAACTGGCTCTTGGAAAGAAACCGGCATCAGATACAGGCACTGATTAAATAAAATTTAAAAAAAAATACGGGGAGGAGGAGGGGGAAAAGAAAAATATTAAGAAAACCTGTGCGGAAAGGCGACAGAAGAAAAAAAAWCATCCATAATATTTGGCTGTGCTGGAAACGCTGACTCCCTTCCCTTGGATTTGAGCAGTGATGCAGCAGAAGCGCTCTCCGCTCGCTCTCGCTCCCTCTCTTCTCTCAGACTCTTTAAGAACATTGGCTGGAAAATCATTTCCTTAGAGCGGTTCCAGTTTCTTCATCCATCGCGTCCAGTGCTTGGGAGAGATTAGTACGTTCAACTGAGATCGAGTCTGGRTGGCTGCTGTATCCGAGCTGGGCTTGTGCTTTGGCTTGGGTTCGTTTTTTTTGGCTGCAAAACTGTCTGATGGCACAACTGCAACATAAAGGTTAAATATGGCACAGAGGGAAAAAAAAAAAAAGAGAGGGGGGAGAAGGAAGGATTAGAGGGAAGAAACTAATATAAATCAGTAGAGGTTCTTTTTAGCGAAGAGGTCTTTGATCTCTGCTGGGTTTTACAGATCTTTTAGAAAGAGAGAGAGAGAGAAAGGGAAGAGAGAAGGGGGGAGAGAAGGGAAAAGGGGGGAGAGATCTTTGGCAGGTGCAGAGTGAAAACCTCTTTCAGCTACACTGAATTCTGGAGACTGGTTGGACTAGTAGCTCTGCAGCTCCAGCTTTCAGTGGGTGTGTTAAATATTATGAGCGAGCCATGATTCCTGCCTTCCTCACGTCATAGTTAGGAGATTGGCTAAATAAACGCTACAGTGATAGTAACAGGAAAACCTCAACCAAAAGCGGGTTTTTTTCCCTCCTCTCCTCCCTCCTTCCCACCCCCC